ACCCTGTAACTTTCCAAAACCCCATAAAACCTTCACAGGAGGGTACTGTTTTACTCGTGAGACATTGCTGAACACAAATATGAGTGTTTTAGAGCAGTAAAACTTATGACATTGATGATATCAGTTAAAGGGCATTTTTTTGTTATTGTGAACAATGGAAAAACTAATATGAATGCTAATTTTGGCAAGGGTTTGTGACTAAGTGACTACTAAAAAAGACTGGACATACCCCTTTTTGAATACCTTGGGTTGTCTACCTTTGCAAAAAGTATGCCATGCAGGGCCGGTGCAAGGATTTCTGCCGCCCTAGGCAAAGATCCATTTTGCCACCCCCTTGCGTCACTCACTCACTGACACACACATAAACTCACTGACAGAAACACACATAAGCTCACTGATAGACACACACTCACTGACACACACACACACACTTACTGACAGACATGCACACACTCACTAAGTGACTACAAAAAAGCCTGGACATACCTCATTTTGAATATCCTTGGATGCTACTTTTGCAAATAGCATGCCATGATGGGGTTAATTTTCAATTCTGGACTGCCATACGGTCTCAAAGGCAGCATAGGCCTAGCAAACTAATCTGGCAAATTTCAATGTGTAAAAATAAAAAAGGGGAAAGATCTATATTTGACCCTGGAACTTTCCAAAACCCCATAAAACCTGTACATGGTGTGTACTGTTGTACTCATAAGACACTGCTGAACACAGATATTATTTATTTATTTATAAAATATTTTACCAGGAAGGATACATTGAGATTTCTCTCGTTTTCAAGTATGTCCTGGGTCCACAAAACATTGCATTGATGCAGTAGGGTACAATAAAATACAAAAACAATATTAATACACAATATATACAAAATGTAACATAAAACAGGTAAGAAATATATAATCAACCATGACGTGCATTCTGTTTTGAGATATGTAGAGATGGATCTTTTAAAGTATTTTAGGCCTGGGGAAGATTTGAAAGTGTGCAGGAGGTCGTTCCATAATTGCGGTGCTCTGTAGGAAAAGGAGGATCGAGCCGCTTTCTTTTTGTATTGAGGTAGACTAAATAATGTGCTGGTACTGGATCGGAGGTTATAGGAGGTGGGAACAGCTGGGGAAAACATTCTCTCAGGTAGTGTGGGAGCTTCCCAGAAAAGCTCTTAAACACAAGGCTGGAAAGATGAAAGGTGCGTCTGGATTCCAACGACAGCCAGTTTACTTCTTTTAGCATGACACAATGGTGGGTCATGACTCGTAATTATACGAGTTATACAATGTATTAAGTTTATTAAGGTGGGTTTGCGGTGCAGGTGCATATACTACATCCCCATAATCAATGATAGGCATTTGCTGATTGTTTGTAATTGTTAACATAAATTACAATGTCACCACCTCTTTTTGCTCTGTCATTTCTCTGGCATGAATACCCATGTATTGCAATGGCAGAGTCAGGTATTTTTGCGGTTAGCCACGATTCAGAGAGCACAATGATTTTGGGCTTGTAACATGAACACCATGCTTGCAGTTCATCGATTTTTGGTAGTAAACTGCAGATATTATAGTGCACAAAAGAGAGGCCTGTTTTAGCAGGAAGGCTAGGAATGGAATCTGTTGGGGGACCAGGGTTAGACTCTACATAAATTGCAAGGGCAAGTAACATGAGTAATTGGAATTTGGACATAATCTTAGTTTGGTAGTATTGCAATTGTAGGGTTTTATACTTTTGTGGGTGGGGGTGGGAGGGCTTGATTTCAACACTCTCCACTAGCACTCAGCAGATAAAATACATCAACAAAGCAGGCCATGATGTATAAGAATTTGGTTCTCAGTTTGTGGTGAGTGATGCTTAAGAGGGTAGTGGTAGGAACATGACAGGAGTGTGGGTGTAGGGTTACAAGGAATATTAACACGGTCAAATTTGGAGCCATGTACAGGAGGGGAGGAGATGAAAACAAAAATGAAATAGGTTACAAATAATGCATATATGGTGAGGAAGTAGTACTTATACTACACATATGGCTAGGTATAGTACACAAACATAAATGCAGCAAGCACAACAGCGTGTTGATAATAATGAGAATGTTGATTGAATCACTGTCTGCTGTTTTCCTCCTTGTGTCCTCCTTGGTGAACTCCTAGGATTTAGGACACTTATTGGAAGTTGGTACACAGATGGAATGTGGCCTGGGCTCCCTTTGGTCCTATGCTCCCCAGTGACTTAACTAAATAGGGATCCCACTCTGCCTTGAGATAGTCAATTGGCTTAATTGCCTCCAATAAAGTTTGACACATAATTTGTGCTCTGCTTTCCTCCTAGGTGCTAATAGTTCCTTCTGTAGGAGGAGTAGTCAAGCCAATTTTATACTGCAATTTTATACTGCTCCATTCGCCCCTCTTTTAAACTGGCACTTTACATACTGTATAGAAGAGTTACTCAGAGATTTAGTATTATTATTATTATTGCCATTTATATAGTATGATAGTTAATACTTTTCTGTTGTTAGTAAAACATTATAGGCACAGAAATTCATACATTTATATTATCATATCAATATATATTGATAGTCTTATCAAATTCTTGAATACCACCCATAAACTGCAATAGGGAAATAGCTCATTTTTTTCAATTTTCGTGCAAATACTGACACCTAGTGTTTTTCTTTTAAACTACGCAAATAAAATTTAAAGGACCAGTCTAGGCACCCAGACCACTTCAGCTTAATGAAGTGGTCTGGGTGCCAGGTCCTTCTAGGGTTAACCCATTTTTTTTTATAAACATAGCAGTTTCAGAGAAACTGCTATGTTTATCAATGGGTTAAGCCAGCCTCCAAATCCTCTAGTGGCTGTCTCATTGACAGCCACTAGAGGCGCTTGCGTGCTCCTCACTGTGATTTTCACAGTGAGAGCACGCCAGCGTCCATAGGAAAGCATTGTAAATGCTTTCCTATGAGACCGGCTGAATGCGCGCGCAGCTCTTGCCGCGCGTGCGCATTCAGCCCAGGAGGAGGATCGGAGGAGGAGAGCTCTCCGCCCAGCGCTGGAAAAAGGTAAGTTTTTACCCCTTTCTCCCTTCCAGAGCCGGGCGGGAGGGGGACCCTGAGGGTGAGGGCACCCTCAGGGCACTATAGTGCCAGGAAAACGAGTATGTTTTCCTGGCACTATAGTGGTCCTTTAAATTTAACTTGAGCTATCAGTTACTGTTTTTGCAGTAGCATTTTAAATTATGGGATTTTAGCTCTTTTTTTCTTGCAGTTTAATTACATTCACTGAGCCTGCTCTATATAGTTTTCAAAAAATAATACCCTGATATATAAAGAAATAATATGCTGTACTATACCAGACTATCTGTTGTTGTCTGGTAAAACTGGTTTGTGAATACGGATTGTTAAAATGGACACCAGTTGTCATTGTGCTACTGGTATTTCTCAAACAAATTAACGTAACTCTCATTGCTTTATGGAATATGCAGTCCAACCACAACTTAGAGTTCATCTGACTTCCCCGTAGCAAATATACACAAAATTATTAATTATTATTATTAACTCGATCATAATCTGGCTAGTTATTGTTCATAAACATGAACAAAATTTTAAGTGATGGATTTGTTTTCTTGTAGGACTCTCAGAATGTTTAGGCTTTCCCTGCTGTTTGCTTACTTTAAAGGGACACTATACAGTTGCAATAAAAAGTATGTGAACCATTTGGAATGATATGGATTTCTGTACAAATTGGTCATAAAATGTGATCTGATCATCATCTAAGTCTCAACAACAGACAATCACAGTCTGCTTAAACTAATAACACACAAAGAATGAAATGTTGCCATGTTTTTATTGAACACACCATGTAAACATTCACAGTGCAGGTGGAAATAGTATGTGAACCCCTAGACTAATGACATCTCCAAGAGCTAATTGGAGTGAGATGTCAGCCAACTGGAGTCCAATCAATGAGATGAGATTGGAGGTGTTGGTTACAGCTGCCCTGCCCTATAAAAACACACACCAGTTCTGGGTTTGCTTTTCACAAGAAGCATTGCCTGATGTGAATGATGCCTCGCACAAAAGAGCTCTCAGAAGACCTACGATTAAGAATTGTTGACTTGCATAAAGCTAAAAAGGGTTATAAAAGTATCTCCAAAAGCCTTGCTGTTCATCAGTCCACGGTAAGACAAATTGTCTATAAATGGAGAAAGTTCAACACTGCTGCTACTCTCCCTAGGAGTGGCCGTCCTGTAAAGAGCACAGCGCAGACTGCTCAATGTGGTGAAGAAGAATCCTAGAGTGTCAGCTAAAGACTTACAAAAGTCACTGGCAAATGCTAACATCCCTGTTAGCATATCTACAATACGTAAAACACTTAACAAGAATGGATTTCATGGGAGGATACCACAGAGGAAGCCACTGCTGTCCAAACAAAACATTGCTGCACGTTTACAGTTTGCACAAGAGAACCTGGATGTTCCACAGCAGTACTGGCAAAATATTCTGTGGACAGATGAAACCAAAGTTGAGTTGTTTGAAAGAAACACACAACACTGTGTATGGCAAAAAAAGGCACAGCACACCAACATCAAAACCTCATCCCAACTGTGAAGTATGGTGGTGGCGGCATCATGGCTTGGGGCTGCTTTGCTGCGTCAGGGCCTGGACAGATTGCTATCATTGAAGGAAAAATGAATTCTCAAGTTTATCAAGACATTTTGCAGGAGAACTTAAGGCCATCTGTCTACCAGCTGAAGCTAAACAGAAATGGTTGTTGCAACAGGACAATGACCCAAAGCATAGAAGTAAATCAACAACAGAATGGCTTAAACAGAAGAAAATACGCCTTCTGAAGTGGCCCAGTCAGAGTCCTGACCTCAACCCGATTGAGATGCTGTGGCATGACCTCAAGAAAGTGATTTACACCAGACATCCCAAAAATATTGCTGAACTGAAACAGTTCTGTAAAGAGGAATGGTCAAGAATTACTCCTGACCGTTGTGCACGTCTGATCTGCAACTACAGGAAACGTTTGGTTGAAGTTATTGCTGCCAAAAGGAGGTTCAACCAGTTATTAAATCCAAGGGTTCACATACTTTTTCCACCTGCACTGCGAATGTTTATATGGTGTGTGTCCTGACCCTACAGTGATCCTTTAACATATGGTCTATTATGCTTCTTATTACAATTAGGCTACTTGTTGCTTTATGTGTTGTTTTATGTGTTTTTCAAAACATGTCTTTTAAAATGTATTTATGTCTAAAATCTGCGGACAATTTAAAGTTATGGGATTCACTCACTTGTAGTACTTTCAAAATGTTAAAGGGACACGATAGTCACCTGAACAACTTTAGCTTAATGAAGCAGTTTTGGTGTATAGAACATGCCCGTGCAGCCTCACTGCTCAATCCTCTGCCATTTAGGAGTTAAATCCCTTTGTTTATGAACCCTAGTCACACCTCCCTGCATGTGACTTGCACAGCCTTCCATAAACACTTCCTGTATAGAGAGCCCTATTTAGGCTTTCTTTATTGCAAGTTCTGTTTATTTAAGATTTTCTTATCCCCTGTTATGTTAATAGCTTGCTAGACCCTGCAAGAGCCTCCTGTATGTGATTAAAGTTCAATTTAGAGATTGAGATACAATTATTTAAAGGACCACTCTAGGCACCCAGACCACTTCAGCTTAATGAAGTGGTCTGGGTGCCAGGTCCAGCTAGGGTTAACCTATTTTTTCATAAACATAGCAGTTTCAGAGAAACTGCTATGTTTATGAATGGGTTAAGCCTTCCCCTATTTCCTCTAGTGGCTGTCTCAATGACAGCCGCTAGAGGCGCTTGCGTGATTCTCACTGTGAAAATCACCGTGAGAGCACGCAAGCGTCCATAGGAAAGCATTGATAATGCTTTCCTATGTGACCGGCTGAATGCGCGCGCAGCTCTTGCCGCGCGTGCGCATTCAGCCGACGGGGAGGAGAAGAGGAGGATCGGAGGAGGAGAGCTCCCCGCCCAGCACTGGAAAAAGGTAAGTTTTACCCCCTTTCCCCTTTCCAGAGCCTGGCGGGAGGGGGACCCTGAGGGTGGGGGTACCCTCAGGGCACTATAGTGCCAGGAAAACGAGTATGTTTTCCTGGCACTATAGTGGTCCTTTAAGGTAAATTACATCTGTTTGAAAGTGAAACCAGTTTTCTTTTTTCATGCAGGCTCTGTCAATCATAGCCAGGGGAGGTGTAGCTAGGGCTTGATAAACAGAAACAAAGTGATTTAACTCCTAAATGGCAGTGAAATTGCAGGGGAATGATCTATATACTAAAACTGCTTTATTTAGCTAAAGTAATTTAGGTGACTATAGTGTTCCTTTAATATATTCCTACTGCTGTGTACTGCAGAGAGATAACCTTAAAAGTTAGATACATTTTATTTTCCATTTTCACAGAAAAAGGTGCACTTGGAAAGTGATACAGTAGATGGCAGCAAAGGCTATAACATTGTGAACAGTTGCAATTTCTCTGTCTATAATCCAAATTCAGTATTTAAGAGTTTAGCTTGGATAACGTGTATATCTTCAGGAAGGCATGCATTTAGTCTGAACTGTGTGGTACCAAAACTGTCAGCAAAAATAGAGATATACCTTCTAGGATAATATCTTCTCCTTTTAAGGGGAAAATGTCATTTGAATTTACATCATTGAATAAAAAATATTGAAAATCACCTAAAACATTTAAAAAAAAAATGTTTTTCATGAAATGCTCTTTTTTTAATTGTATAATAGATATTAGCAAATTATACAAAATACAGTCCAGACAAGGCAAAGCCAAGGCAACCATTAAAAATGAATAGGAGAAATAAAAACAATGTTTAATTCCTCCTCTTCTCTGTATCTTTTCTGACTGCCAAATGGAAAGGATAGGCCCAGATTTAATATTGTTGGATACGCTTTCCAAATTATTTCATCTTTTTGGATAAACATTTAAAATGGTCTAATATTATGAAAACTATTTTACTTTTGTAATAATTTGATAATTTTTAGTATACATTTTTAAATATTACTGTAAATAATTGTTGATATTTTAATATGTTGTTAAAAAAAAACATTTTAAAAGTGGATCCAAAAATATAAAATAATTGGAAAGTTTATCCAAAAATAATAAATCGAGGTCATTGCTTGTAACAGTTAGCTATGATGGAGATCCTCATCTGCAGAGTACAGAGATGGGGATTTCTGTATTTACAATATCTCACAAAAGTAAGTACACCCCTCACATTTTTGTAAATATTTTAATATATCTTTTCATGTGATTACACTCTGCTACAATGTAAAGTAGTAAGTGTACAGCCTGTATAACAGTGTAAATTTGCTGTCCCCTCAAAATAACTCAACACACAGCCATTAATGTCTAAACCGTTGGCAACAAAAGTGAGTACACCCCTAAGTGGAAATGTGCAAATTGGGCCCGAAGTGTCAATATTTTGTGTGGCCACCATTATTTTTCAGCACTGCTTTAACCCCCATGGGCATGAAGTCCCCCAGAGCTTCACAGGTTGCCTCTTCCACTCCTCCATGACGACATCACGGAGCTGGTGGATGTTAGAGACCTTGCACTCTCCCACCTTCCATTTGAGGATGCCCCACATATGCTCAATAGGGTTTAGGTCTGGAGACATGCTTGACCAGTCCATCACCTTTACCTTCAGCTTCTTTAGCACGTCAGTGGTAGTCTTGGAGGTGTGTTTGGGGTCATTATCTGCAGCCCAGTCTCCAATGGTAGGGAATCATGTTCTGCTTCAGTATGTCACAGTACATGTTGGCATTCATGATTCCCTCAATGAACTGTAGCTCCCCAGTGCCGGCAGCACTCATGCAGGCCCAGACCATGACACTCCTACTACCATGCTTGACTGTAGGCAAGACACACTTATCTTTGTACTCTTCACCTGGTTTCCGCTACACACACTAGACACCATCTTAACCAAATAAGTTTATCTCACAAAAATGTGAGGGGTATACTCACTTTAGTGAGATATTGTAATTTCATTTTTCACAACTCACAAATACACCTTTGTTAAATATAGGGATAAGTATACATAATATTAAAAATCATTAAAAATCAATATCCCTATTAAGAGAAATGCTGCACTGTATTGGATGACTAAATTAACTGCTGCCCTAACACCAAATAACATAACATGCAAATTTTAAAAATGTACAGCTTGTGAGGTACCATGCATCTCACTTGGCTAGGAGCAGCTGAGTCCTCAAATAATGCTTTTATGATGTTAACCAGACATTAAGTCACTTCTGAAGTGCCCAGGTGAGTGAATTTAAGAAGCCACAAAAGACAGGCTTATTCTAAGAAGAGAAAGGTGCCTCCTGTACACATAATCTTGTGCATGATACACATCTCAAATGTGAACAAGATATATACACACAGGGATGCAGTGCTCACCAAAATAGTCTTTTCACATGAGCATCAGTCAGCCAACGGATGCCTACAAGTAATTGTGTGCAAATAGGGTTGTCGCTGGAGATGGGTGAGGCTGATATATAGCTTGTAGACAGAGAACAGTCTCAGACTATTGCGCACACCAACTGTATGTGATTATATGACAGGGTGAGCATTCTAAAAAGATAGAAGAAATTGAGAAGCATTTGTTTGGACCACGTGAGATCCTTGGTGATACCAGAAAAGGTGTAGAAGACATCGCTTTGACCTGCACTGGGTTTCAGGTAAATATATTTGATTTATTTTGCAGGTTTAATTGACTAACAGCACCTATGAACAGCAACCAATAGGCAATATAAATAGAAAGCGCATTTAAAAAAAAGAAAAGGCTTGGACTAATCCTTTAAACTAGAACCTGCACATAACAGGTGGAAAATTGTCAACATGCAGTCTATGCAAATGACACTGTAACAAGGTCCCAGGTTGCACCAAACCGTCTTACCTCGTTCAAGTTTCAGAAATGTGAGCAGCACCTTTAACCCCTTAAGGACCAAACTTCTGGAATAAAAGGGAATCATGACATGTCACACATGTCATGTGTCCTTAAGAGGTTAAGGATCACATATTTCTATATTTGAAATTTTTGCCGTCACGTAAACAAGGTATTACATTCCTTCTGGATGGGAAATCGTTTGGGCACAGCATGAATTCACTGACACACAGCTGCATTTACTTCCTACTTAAAAGCTGAAATTCAAGAAGTTATTTTGCAGACACAGGCACAGAAGCTGCCTGACGTAGAATGGGTAACTCATCAGTCGAAATCCTGAGTTTTCTGCTAGTGATTTTTTCTATTGTATCCTTTATCCTGTGCAGTACAACAGACTGTTGGAGGGTAAGACAGAAATCTATGTATATTGTGTGTCTTGTTTTTGTTATAATTTTTTTTGCATTTTTAAAAACATTTCCTTATTTTCTTTTAAGATCAAGTAGAAATACTAGGACCCGAGGATTACACAGAATGATGTTTTATTATTGATTTAGAACAAATGTTAATATCCAATTGTGCCCTGCCATTAAGGACAGTGTTTAAACTGGAACAAAGGAGAAATGCAATTAAGAATTTCTAAGACTTGAGAAAATTCCTGACAAAAGAAATAATAGTCACGTTGTTGTGAAATGCGTCAGCATGCTTGTATACGATACATCTCATTCTTTACATGGAGCAGTATGTTATATTAAATCAAGTGGCAATAAAAGGTTAAGGGCTTCTGCTTTCTTAAGCAATAAAGCATTATTCATAAACTCACAAGAAAATATAGTGCAATATCGAAAGTGGACAGATGACATATAGAAACATAGAATGTGACGGCAGATAAGAACCATTCAGCCAATCTAGTCTGCCCAATTTTCTAAATAGAAAAATAAATAAAATATGCTTTTTATTTAATATATATACCTTTTGTCACTTGCAAGATTTTTAGAGAAAGTTCTTTTCAAAGCATGTGCTGTTTGCAAATACTATGTACAAGCAGTCACGTAATTATGTTTATGTGATTATTGGGATTTTTTGTTTTTTATAAACAACAAAATATTTTGCAGCTTGGTGCAATAGGGGGACAAATTGCCCAAAATAGGGGTTAAATAAAATACAGGGGAAGATGTAAGCGGAGATGACTACGTGAGGGCAAAATGTAACCCTTTTGTTTATGCTGTTCTCTCTTTAGACCCATGAAAGGCCAATTCATCATAAAACATTATCATCATATTGTTTTTTTTTCTAGTTTAGTTTCTGAGAAAATGCAGTGCTTAGAAATGTCAGGGGCGTCCAGCTGAGGCATAATCTCTTGTTTGAACACTGTTTGATGCCTGGTGTAAAATATTTGAGCATCACATCCATTATTTATATTAACCAGTTGTTGCACTTGCTAGAGTTGTCGTTCTTATAGCTTCATTACCACTCGTTGGATTGTTAGCTCTGTGAGACAGTGCTGTGCCAAGACAAGTTCACCCTAAATGTAACTAATGTGTTTTCTAAAAAATCTGTGAAATCTCAACTCATTGATTCTTGTCAGGACTTCAAGCTGTTCAGTGCTCTTAAGTGCTGATTAGTGCCCCCCATTTGTAAAGTGATTGTCTATCTAATTAGAAGGTTGGGTGCTCTCCGTGTGTTCTGCCTTAAAAATATTCTTATTGTCATAGGAACACAAAAATCTTGGTTGGTGGGGGTGGCAGGATTTCATAACAATTTTGAGCCCTTTTAGGGAGCATATGTTAAACCATGCAGTTTTCTTTCAGGGTTACTCACAACATTTTGAATTTCATGGAATTGAAAGTGATTTCAAAGCGAATTTCAAATTTAAGGTAAAAATAGCTGAAACTGGAAAACTCTCCCAGTCGGATATGCTTCGAGTTTGGCTAAATTGCCTTTTAATTTGAAATTCACTTTGAAGTCACTAATTCCCTGCTATTCTCACTTTTGGGAAAGTCTGTGTCTGCGAACAAGACACCTTTTAATATAAATATCTAATTTCTCACAAAATAAAATTAATTATTCGGTAAAGGTCTTTGCACAGATTTTTCTTAGATCTTTAAATGTTCAATATTCAAATTGTTTCAAAAGCTATGCAGAGAAGAAGTGTTTGATTTTCTTATCTTTATTAAACTGTTTTTAAAAATGTTGAAATCAACAACATCATGACCTGGCGGCCCCCCTCACTATTCTTTTAGGGGAGGGGGATTCGCCCCTCCTCCTATTCCTAAACCCACGGAGAGATGTACTTTACATTAATGGAAAGCCATACCTGCCCTTAGTGTGTCTTATATTTCAGCACTCCAATACAATAAGGAACACAAGAACATGACTTGAAGTTGGAAAGGGAATGATTAAAGGCTTATGCGACAATATAAATGGCTATTTTATGCTATTTTATAGAAAGGCTACCATCTAATATACTATTTTATATGTTAGCCATTGCTAATTCCAGTAACCTTATAAATGTGTTTGAAGGAGTAAAGGCTAACATAGTAAATTCTTTGGAGGATGGGTAATGATGTGCAAGCATTAACATTACCTTTGAATGTAAAGTAGGTAAACTGGTGATACTTTTATAAGGGCAGACTTGATGGACCAGTTGGCAATATCTGCCATGTTTGCAGGGGCGTATTAGCCGCGAGGCAAACAAGGCATTTGCCTTGGGCGGCATTTTTCAGGGGGCGGCAAAAAACGCCCCCCCCAAATGCCCAGGGCAAATGCCTAGTTAGCCTTGCGGCTAACTGACATCCCGAGCGGGCAGGCGGCTGGCGAGGGAGCTCTTCCCCTGAGCGGTCTGCTCAGCTCCCTCGCGCGCCGCAAAGTGAGGCTGGGAGCCGGAAGATGACATCATATTCCGGCTCCCAGCCTCACTCTGCGGGCGGCGCACGAGGGAGCTGAGCAGTCAGCTCAGGGGAAGAGCTCCGTCGCCGCCCGCCCGCCCGCCCTGCAGCCACTGGACCACCAGGGAGAGAGAGACCCCCCCCCAGCACTCCCAAAGGTAAGGAGGTTGGGGGGGGGGGGTTTAAATTAAAAAAAAAGTTAATGTGTGTGTGTGTCTGACTGTGTGTGTTTGTGTCTGACTGTGTGTGTGTGTGTGTGTTTGTGTGTGTCTGTGTGTGTCTGACTGTGTGTATGTGTGTGTGTCTGTGTGTGTGTGTGTCTGACTGTGTGTGTCTGACTGTGTGTGTGTATGTGTGTGTGTCTGAATGTGTGTGTTTGTGAGTGTGTGTGTTTGTGTCTGACTGTGTTTGTGTGTGTGTGTGTGTGTGTTTGTGTCTGACTGTGTGTGTTTGTGTCTGTTTGTTTGTGTTTGTGTGTTTGTGTCTGACTGTGTGCGTGTGTCTGACTGTGTGTGTGTGTCTGACTCTGTGTGTGTGTGTGACTCTGTGTGTTTGTGTCTGACTGTGTGTGTTTGTGTCTGACTGTGTGTGTGTTCTGTGTGTGTGGTGTGTGTGTTTGTGTCTGACTGTGTGTGTGTGTTTGTGTCTGACTGTGTGTTTGTGTCTGACTGTGTGTGTGTGTGTTTGTGAGCAGTGGCGTACACATGATCCATGGGGCCCCGGTGCGAAAATTGATCCGTGGGCCCCCCCGCGCTTACTCGGCGCGGGTCGGGGCCGCAACACATGGCGGCGGGCACCTGGTCGCAGGGGTTGCAGGGCTGCGACCCCGCGACCGCGGTATGCACACACACTTAAAGGACCACTACAGACACCCTGATCACATCAGCTCAATGAAGTGGTCTGGGTGCCAGGTCCGCTAGTTTTAACCCTGCAGCTGAAAACATAGCCGTTTCAGAGAAACGGCTATGTTTCACTGAGGGTTAATCCAGCCTCTGGTGGCTGTCTCATTGACAGCTGCTAGAGGAACTTCCACGATTCTCACTGTGAAAATCACAGTGAGAAGACACTGTACGTCCATAGGAAAGCATTGAGTAATGCTTTCCTATGGGCGGTTCAAATGCGCGTGCGCCTCTTGCCGCGCATGTGCATTCGGAGCTGAGAGGCGGAGGGATCCCCAGTGCCAAGGGAGTCCGACGCTGGAGAAAGGTAAATGCTAAAGACATACACACACACACTCTCACGAACAGACGCATACACACTAGCTAACAGACACACACATTTACTGACAGAGACACACTCAGCGACAGACATACATAAACACTCACAAAACATACACTTTCACTGACAAACACACACTCACTAACAGACATCAAACACACTCAGTAACAGACACACACAGTAACACACTCACTAGCAGACACACACCCAATAACAGACACACTCACTGACACACACACTAACACAAACACTAAAACACACACATACACTAACCCACACACACATACACTAACCCACACACAAACACATACATATACTAACACACACACTAACATACACACATACACTAACACACACATACACTAACACACACACACTAACATACACACATACACTAACACTATAACTCACATACATACACTAACACACACATACACTAACACACACATACACTAACATACACACATACACTAACACTATAACTCACATACATACACTAACACATACACTAACACACACACATACACTAACACACACACTAACATACACACATACACTAACATACACACATACACTAACACTATAACTCACATACATACACTAACACACATACACTAACACACACACATACACTAACACACACACTAACATACACACATACACTAACATACACACATACACTAACACTATCACTCACATACATACACTAACACACACATACACACACACACACTCACATACACTAACACACACACACACATTTAAAAAAAAAAAATTAATCCCCCCAGCCTCCTTACCTTTTGGAGTGCTGGGGGGATTCCCTGGGGTCCAGTGGTGCTGCTGGGCGGGCAGGCGGGCGGGCTGTCTGTCTCGGTGGCCGGCGCGCGAGGGAGCACTCAGTGCTTCCTCTTCAGCTCCCTCGCGCGCCGCGTGGGGTTGCCGGCGCCGGAAGATGATGTCATCTTCCGGCTCCGGTATCAGTGCAGTACGCGAGGGAGCTGAAGAGGAAGCACTGAGTGCTCCCTCGCGCGCCGGCCACCGAGACAGACAGCCCGCCCGCCGGGGTCAGCAGGGCCAGCCTCGGGGGGCCCTGGGGTGGCCGCCTCCTGGGCCCCCCAGGAGAAGAGGCTGGCCCTGTGGCTACATACCGGGTCGCAGCCGCGACCCCTGCGACCCTGGTATGTACGCCACTGTTTGTGAGTGTGTGTGTTTGTGTCTGACTGTGTGTGTGTTTGTGTCTGACTGTGTGTGTGTGTATTTAGAAGGTGGGGCGGGGGGGAAGGGTTGGGTGGGGGTGGCGCGGGGGGCGGGGGGCGCCTGAGTTTTGTCCTGCCTAGGGCAGCACAAAACCAGGATACACCACTGCATGTTTGTGTACCTCTGATGGGGCGCCTTTCTATCTTATGGCCTGATCCCTCACTTTGGTTTTCTTACCTTTTTCTGTAAGTTCTAAAAAAACATTTAGAGGCAAGGCAAAGAAAACGTGAGATGACTTGGTGGAACAAATCAGGTAATCCGTAAGATGTCAAAAGGGTTGATTTAAAATCTCACCCAAATTGACTCTTCATGTACCTTTCATGTACCTTTCATGTACCTAAATTCTAAGACACTTTGTTTATGATTTTGCAAAAATGCACCCATCCAAAACATAAAAGTTTAATAATTGATAGAATCTGCAACAATAAAGTCCTGTTATTTTATGATTTAGTATTTTTGCCCATATTTAAGATTGGGGTACTTAGAACACTTATTGTGGTGTCCTAACACATATGATGTGCAATCATTTAGACTGTTCGGATGTCTATTTATTGACTTACAGTTTCACTTCACACTAACATGTAGTCTTATTTCTCTTGATATTCATTTGTAATATAGCAAGATGCAAAGGATCCCTACTCATCTGTAGGCTTGAGTTCTCGATGTCGGGGTCTCTGGAGCGAGTGTGTTTATGATAACATGGCCAATATTTGGACCTGTGATATTCCAGTCTCCTATCTTAGTCACCATCCAGGTGAGTTACGCTTTAGATATAGACGTAACGTCACAATAGTTGCAATTTAGCTTCAGTAATAAATCAGGCCTTCTTATTTTATTGCAGTATCTCTGGTGGTCACACGGGCCTTGATGGTTATAAAGGGTATTCTCTCAATTATTGCATCTCCTCTTCTGATTCTTGGAATGAAGTGTACAACAATTATCAAGAATGACGACCATCACAAAGTACAATTCTCCAAGGCTGCAATGATACTGCTTCTGATGGGAGGTATTCAATGCTATATGGTTCTACATCAAGTGCTGAAATATGTCATTCTGATTAACCTGGGTGTAGACAAGTGAACACAAGTCTGGAACCATACTTTAATAGTATCAATGGAAGTATATTTTTTGTTTGAGCATCATGTTCTCTCACACCACCCAATATTTCAAATAAAAAAAAACTTAAATTTTGGGGATGTGGCTAGGAATGTGACAAGGGGCAGGGCTACCCAGTCCAGCATACAACTCAGAGCTCCATCAGCTGTTCCATGGCCATTTGAAACAGTCTGATTTTTAAACATACCCAGTCCAGCATAGAACTCAGAGCTCCATCAGCTGTTCCATGGCCATTTGAAACAGTCTGATTTTTAAACATACCCAGTCCAGCATAGAACTCAGAACTCCATCAGCTGTTCCATGGCCATTTGAAACAGTCTGATTTTTAAACTTACCCAGTCCAGCATAGAACTCAGAGCTCCATCAACTGTTCCATGGTCATTTGAAACAGTCTGATTTGTAAACATACCCAGTCCAGCATAGAACTCAGAGCTCCATCAGCTGTTCCATGGCCATTTGAAACAGTCTGATTTTTAAACTTACCCAGTCCAGCATAGAACTCAGAGCTCCATCAACTGTTCCATGGCCATTTGAAACAGTCTGATTTTTAAACATACCCAGTCCAGCATAGAACTCAGAGCTCCATCAGCTGTTCCATGGCCATTTGAAATAGTCTGATTTTTAAACATACCCAGTCCAGCATAGAACTCAGAGCTCCATCAGCTGTTCCATGGTCATTTGAAATAGTCTGATTTTTAAACATACCCAGTCCAGCATAGAACTCAGAGCTCCATCAGCTGTTCCATGGCCATTTGAAACAGTCTGATTTTTAAACTTACCCATTCCAGCATAGAACTCAGAGCTCCATCAACTGTTCCATGGTCATTTGAAACAGTCTGATTTTTAAACATACCCAGTCCAGCATAGAACTCAGAGCTCCATCAACTGTTCCATGGTCATTTGAAACAGTATGATTTGTAAACATACCCAGTCCAGCATAGAACTCAGAGCTCCATCAGCTGTTCCATGGCCATTTGAAACAGGTAGCCTTCTGGAAGACTGACATTTCATTATATTTCTACATACCCTGTTAATTTTGTAGTATGTTTTTGTATTTAGTGACTATTATTTAGTTTTATTATTTTCAATGTATACATTTTCATGTCTTTGTAACTATAGCCTGTGCTAATCATGCAAAGTATTTTATCACCTTTGTCTTTGTCCATCATGTTAAAAGTTAGTTTAACCAGCTCAGGCCCATATATCTTTCTTGTTCCTTGTTTAACTATTTATAGATAGTCTCCCACACAACTTTCAATCTCCTGAAATGACAGGTGCAAACACTGATCAGCACACCCATCCAATCTCTTAACCCTATAGAACACATACCCTCTCTCCCCACAAATAGATATATCACACACCAATACTATATACTTTTATTTAATTTTTGTTTTTCGCAATTTCTGTTTCATTTTCAACTACACACCTCATACCACTAACATGAATCCAAATATAACCATACTGATATTCTTAATAACCCTTTGTTCAATCCAATTTTGTTCACACCACTACCAGCATAAGCACACACCTCAAACTGGAACACAAATTATAATACACCATGGCATGCTCTGTTCCTGTAACTTATCTGCTGAGTGCTGGTGGAGAGTTCTAAAAAATAGCCCTCCTACCCCCACCTCACAAAATTATAAAGTATCCCATTCACTATATGGCCAAACAAAAATTATGTCCAAATTCCTATTCCTTATGTTACTTGCCCTTGCAAATGATGTGGAGTCTAACCCTGGTCCCGCAGCTAATTCTAGTCCTAATCCCCCCACTAAAAAAGGCCTCTCTTTTGTGCACTGCAACATCCGTAGTTTACTCCCTAAACTGGATACACTGCAAGCCTGGTGTTCCTATTACAAACCAAAAATCATTGTGCTCTCAGAATCACGGTCAACGACTAAAATACCAGACACCGCCATTGCAATACAGGGCTATTCATGTTTTAGAAATGACAGAGCAAAGAGAGGAGGAGGCATTGTTATTTATGTTGACTATTCCATAAAGTTTACCCCTTTACAAAACCTTAGTCCTCCTGCCACCTTTGATTTCCTTTCTGGCACAATTGAGATCCCGTGCAGTAAATCAATCATTGTTGCAGGAATCTACCGCCCACCTAGCTCCCCTGTGCATTCCCTTTCTGACATAGCCCACCTCCTTAGTGACACCATAGCTCAAAACCCTAAAAGTGAACTGTTGGTCTTTGGAGATTTTAATATTGATTGGCTGAATCCTAAAAATAATAGTTCTTGCACGCTGTTTAAGATGCAATTAATCTCCTCCCCAATTTGCATAAACATTAAAAGCCATAACCATACCCTGCTAGATTGGATTCTCTCCACTTCTCCTGATAGAATCCAAGAGGCCGGTGTTCTCCCAAACATTTTCAGTGATCACTGTTTAGTGTACTTAGCGTGCGCAAAATAAAGGCTATTAAATCCTCTCCCAAGGTTAAAATAACTAGGTCCTTCAAAAAATTTAATCTTGAATCCTTTCTAAAGGATATCAAGAACCTCCCATGGCACAGATTAAACATTATCCCAGATCTAGACTGTGCTGTTGAATTCTTTCAGTCTGAACTCCTACAAACTTCTAATTTGTATGCCCCGCTGCGTAAGGTGAGGGTAAAAGGAGCACCTATGAACTAGATCACAGCTGACCTCATCCAAATGTACCGGTTTCGGGATTCTTTGTGGTCAAAGTTTAAGTGTACTGGCTCTATGAATGATCACCGTGCATATAGACAATGGTGAAATATATGCACAAAACAAACAAAATTGGCCAAGGCCAAATATTTCTGTGAAAATCTGAACAATAACATCTCAAACCCTAGAAACTTTTGGAAAGTCATAAATAAACTACAAACTCCCCCAATCCACTCCCAACCCTCCACTGTCAAAGTGGATAACCAAACCCTGCAACTTCCCTTAGATGTAGCAAATGCCTTTAACAATTATTTTGTCGGATGCTCTACTGCCCTGATTGCCAAGCTAATAAATGACACGCATCCTGAAACTACAAATGTGGATCAGGCCCCACTAAATTTGCTAAAGTCCCAATATAGACAAGTTCATTTTTAGACCTGTACCTGTTAATGTCATTGAAACACATCTTAATAATCTAAAAAAGAAAAACCAGTCCGGACCTGATCAAATCCCAGCAATGCTGTTGAAGCTCAGTGCGCCGGCAATTGCTAAACCCATCGCAACTCTAATTAACGAATCCTTGGTGTCTGGATACATACCCAAACTTTGGAAGACTGCAAGAGTAGTGCCTATCCATAAAAGTGGTGACACTACTTTGGTTTCTAACTATCGCCCAATATCATTGCTCCCGGCATTGTCAAAAATCTTAGAAAAATGTGTCCATACACAACTATGTGAGTACTACCAACAATCAAACTATCTGACCCCTGATCAATTGGGCTTTCGCCAGAATCACTCCACTACAACTGCCCTCTTAAAAGTTTGCAATGACATCCAAACTGGCATGGAACAAGGAGACCTAACTGGAGCTATTTTCCTTGATTTTGCTAAGGCCTTTGACACAGTAAACCTCGACATTCTACTGCACAAACTAAAAAACTCAGGTATTGGTGATCGTTCGCTAAACTGGTTTCGATCGTATGTATTGGATCGCTCGCAATATGTGTCCATTTCTGACAGCGACTCCCTCCCCCTCCCAGTCACGTGTGGTGTTCCCCAAGGTTCCATTCTCGGCCCCCTACTATTTACATTATTTATAAATGATCTGCCTAATGTCTGCAAATCCTCAAATGTACACATGTACGCAGATGACACGGTAATCTATGCGAGCAATTCCGATCTACCGCAGCTTGAGGCTGTGCTCCAAGACCAGTTTACAGAGGTAGAAAAGTGGATCGCAAAAAGCAAACTCTTCCTGAACACTGCCAAAACTGTCACAATGATCTTTGGAACAGTACCTAAATTACACAAATTACACAATTCCCACCTATCCATCAAAACAAATTCAAATGGCACACTGACCGCAGTCCACTCTTTCAAATACTTGGGTATGATGTTAGACCCCAATCTATCTTTTGGCCTGCACATAGAAAAGCTTGCATCTAAACTTTATCCAAAACTAGGTGCCCTGTACAGAAACAAATCCTGCTTAAGCCCTACAGTAAAGGAAATGATTGTACAGCAAATGCTGATGCCAATCATTGATTATGGGGATGTAGTATATGCATCTGCATCGCAATCCCACATTAATAAACTCAACACATTGTATAACCCGTTCTGCCGATTTGTGCTACAGGACTCACCACTCACCATGTAATTACAGGACTCACCATTGTGACATGCTAAAAGAACTAAACTGGCTTTTGCTGGAATCCAGACGCACCCATCATCTCTCCAGCCTTGTGTTTAAGAGCTTTTCTGGGAAACTCCCACCCTACCTGAACACAATGTTTTCCCCGGCTGTTCCCACTTCCTATAACCTCCGATCCAGTACCAACACTTTATTTAGTCTACCTCAATACAAAAAGAAAGCAGCCCGATCCTCCTTCTCCTACAGAGCACCGCAATTGTGGAATTTGTATTTTATTGTACCCTAATGTAACAATCCAATGATTTGTGGACCCAGGACATACAGGAAAACGAGAGAAATCTCAATGTATCTTTGCTGGTAAAATATTTTATAAATAAATAAATAAATATTGTGAGAAATCTCAGGTGACTTGCTAATGACAATTTATGTAACTAAAATGTATTTCGAACAAGATCAATGTATTTTATTTACACAGACTGATTGCTAGACACATTTATTGTAGTGTAAAAACACATCATTGTGAATAATATTGCTGTGGAACATCTACAAATGAGGAACATTAGGATAGAAAGGAGGAGTTAGGCCCATAATAGGGACTGAATTCTGGTTACTTTGGCTGACAATAAATAAACAAGGGATAGATAGTTGAGTCTGTGTTCCATATATCTTACCAATAACCACCAGACTATCAATACTAATGTTGGTGCTAGAATGCTTGTGGCAGTCTGTCTTCTTCTGGACCTTGACTCCCAATCTCTTTTTTTCCAGGTATTTCCGGGGCGATTGCAGTATTCTGGTTTGCATTAGACACAGCTTTGAAATACAGGACAGAGGTGGGTAAAAAAATGGAGAGCTGGAACATTCTCTGTAGCATCTGTGTTTCGCATTGAACTGGCAAGGAACCCTATCCATGGCAGGAGCATGGAATCTCCTTATCAAGGGAATTCTACTGGCATCATAGGAAGGGAACTTTCCAAGTACATTCTAATAAAAACAAAGAATATGAAAACTCTGAGGACAGCCAAAAGTTTAGAGAAACTCAGAAGCTTGCCCTTTGGTGAGTCCCCGCTCAGGACTCAAAAATGTTTTTACTCACAATAGTGCTCGAGGGATAACTGCTCCATTGCAAAATGATGAAAATTAATGTATTTACAAATGAATGAATGATTAAAAAACGATATACTCCATGCTAGAGATGTTATTTTTATATGCTATACTCAATGATGCCTTCTGGCCTTCCTTTTCTATACCTTACTAAACATTTGAACATAAAAGCATGTTTATTAATACGTGTTGGCAGAACATTCAGGTTTATTTAAGAAAGTGAGATTCAAAGTGAATTTCAAACTTAAGGTTAAAATAATTGAACTGGAAGAATTCCAGCCAGTTATGCTTTCAGTTCAACTATGCTGGTCTTAAAGGGACACTATAGACACACAGACCACTACATCTCATTGAAGTAAACTGGGTGCACTGTCCCCTTAACACTGCGATGTAAAACATTGCAGTTTTAGAGAAACTGCAATGCTTACATTGCAGGGATAAGGCTGCCTATAGCAGGGGCTTCCTGCTGTTTAACAACGTGAAATGATGGTGGACTTCCTTACGCTTGCGTTAGCGTCTTCAAAATCCCCATAGGAAAGCATTGATTCAGTGCTCTCCTATGGGGAAGACCTAATGCGCATTAGGTTCCACTTCACGAGGACAGTGGAGGACCTGTCCTGGAATAAGGTAAGTGAAAACTTTTTTATTAATCCTTTCATTACTACGGGATGGATGGGGCAGAGGAATACTATAGTGTTAGGAATACAGCTCTGTATTTAAATTTCAAATTCACTTTGAATTTTCATTTTAGTACAGAACCCATGTTTATACTGAATTATCATTGAGAAAGCATTACTTTTTTTTACATTACATTTTTACTGTCAGTATGCCATATAGTCTGTGATATAGTCTGTCCCATTGTACAGCGCTACGGAATTTGTTGGCGCTATATAAATAATAAAATAATAATAATAATAATAATAATAATATAGGCACTGTAGCCTGTCCAGTGACTTTCCATGGATGTCTAGTATTAGTGTTCCAGCTGCGGTTGGGCTATATTTTGGCTGGGCTGGACACTAGTGTCATAGAGTGATGCATCATTTTGCAAGGTGCTTATTATATTGTTCTTGTTTCTTATAGTTGAGTCTGGCAGTTCCGGGGATCACGTATGAACTTGGTTATTCCTACTGGTTTGCCGTGGCCTCGGCCACATGTATTTGTGGATCAGCTTTTCTGCTTGTTGGTTTATACTGCAGAATTCACGCCAGAGTGATGGAAAAACCCAGCAGCTTTCAGCATCAAAGTAATAAGAATGCGATGACCTATCTGTGACTCGCAGCTGATAAACTGGGCTAGCACCCAGATGCATGCCGAGCTTTGCAAAGCCAGAAGGTTGGCCATTGTGTGGGAATAGAAATGACTGCTGAGATAGGAGTTGGCACAGTTATACCTGAAATCTAATGCCCACCGTTTCCTAACTGTCAGCTCAGGAGAAAAGAGACATGTTTCATGCCACTTCCTGTGTTATCTCAACATTCTACAGGATATTTACCTGGTACCATTTGTGAATTCAAAAACCCTAAAGAAGTCTTAATAAGTGAAGTATATCACTGAATAAAAAGTGCATATGTTTTTATTTGTTTTCTTTTTTAAATGTCATATATTTGTTATTTGTCATTTTTTATGTCATATATTTGTCATGTTTTAAGTCAAAATCAACATTAAGACCTCTTCGTCCTAATGTATCCATTTCATAGATTCGTTTAGCTTTGGTTTTATCAAATTCATTATCAATGGATCAATGCATTGCATTTTAACTGTGAATGTCATAAATCTGTTAGCTTTTACTGCATTAAATGATGCCCCTTATGAACAGGTTTCATGGTGTTTTGGATCATTAAAGGGTCAAATAAAGAACTTGCCCATTTCAGTTTTTGCACATTGAAATTTGCCAGATTGGTTCGCTGAGCCTATGTTTCATTTGAAATCATATGGCAGCCCAGGAATGAAAATTACCCCTATCATGGTATACCATTTGCAAAAATAGACCAGCCAGGGTATTCAACATGGGGTATGTCCAGTCTTTTTTAGTAACCCCTTAGTCACAAACCCTGTCCAAAGTTAGTATTCCTTTTCTTTTTTTTTGCATTCACACAAAACCTTTCACTGATCATATCATCGTCATTATACCTTTTACTGTTCTATAACACTAATATTTTTGTTCAGCGATATATCATGAGTAACCCTCATATTCAAGACACGTTTTATGAAGTTTTGTAAAATTAGAGGGTGAAATATAGAGCTTGCAAAGGAAATTCTATGGACTATCTGATAGGGTTTGCAGGCAAGTTCCTCAATATATAATTTAAAAAAAAATCTCATAATTATGTTAAAATAATACATAAATATACACATATATGGATCTCCCTGACAAGACAGGTAGTCCCTCTGCATTCAATCTTGTAATCCGGCTGATCCGAGTCATGTGATTACGGTGTAATTACAGGACACCATTTCACCCAGGCTGATCTAATAACTCAAAATCCTAAAAATAAAATTTGTAAAGGGAACTTCAAAAACAGTCAGGAACTGAAATGTTACATCTGAAATGAGAATAGCAGCTAGTCACAGCAGCACAGCCAGGCACAATTACAAAACATACAAAAAAGGGTTCTTATCCATTTAACATCTGCAAATGTGATATACATGATATATTACGTAGCATATCGCACAGGATACTAGATGGGGCAAATCTCACTAAAGCTATATCTCAGAAGGGACTCACAAAGGCATTCGATCAACAATCACAAAGCAAAAGCTGCACCCCTGTTGGACACCATTCAATCCAGAATGGCTATATCATCCGTATATATATACAGTGCCCAAAGGCACCCTTGGTAAATATGAGCAAAGAAAGCTGTGAAATTTTTTATTTATTGTTTAACCTTTTGATCTTTTGTTCATAAAATACACAAAAATACTCTGCTCTCATGCATATCAAACATATGATGCATTTAAAAAAAAATGAAAAAAATAAAAATAAAAGTATAATTTCACGTCAAATGTAAATCTAAACAATTTTACCATTGCCTTAAAATTATTTTTTCGACTGTGTCTTTATCTGGTTTATTATGTGCACAAAAGCTAATTTTACATCATTATTTCTGATACTATATATAAAAGGGTTCAATAGAGGAGCAATATTGGTGTACATAACAGAGACCAGTCTGTCCTGATCCAGTGAATACTCTGATTTGGGTCTGAAATACATAAAAGTCGTAGAACCGTAGAATATTGCAACTACTATAAAGTGAGAGGTGCAGGTCGACAATGCTTTTTTCCTTCCGGAACTCGAATGGATAGTAAAAATAGCTGAGATAATTTTTACATAGGACACCATTGTTAGTACGAAGGAAACAATGATAACACAGCCACCTACGGCAAACAGGACAATCTCATTGATCCAGGTATCTGTACTTGCCAGTTCCAGCACAGGAGGGACATCACAAGCAAAATGGTTAATCTTATTGTTTCCACAAAAGGGTAAAGTGAATGTAAGGATGTTGTGTATTAAAGAATTCACTGCACTAATGAGCCATGATCCGGTAATGAGCTGAATACACACTTTTCTACTCATAATTGTCTTGTATGATAATGGACGACATATGGCGTTATATCGATCGTATGCCATGGCTGCAAGCATATAGCACTCCACACTACCAAAGAGAAATCCACAATACATTTGAATGGCACAACCATAGAAAGAGATTGTTTTACGCTCTGATAGGAAATTTGCTAACATTTTGGGAACTATAGCTGAAATATAACATATTTCTGTGAAGGAGAAATTGGCGAGATTAAAGTACATAGGATTGTGAAGATTTGAACTCAAGTTATAGAGAAGAATAATGGAGGTATTTCCACTGAACGAAATAACATAAATACATAAAAATAGTAGAAACAAATGAATCTGATATTTAGAATTCTCAGATAGTCCAGTAAAGACAAATTCTGTAATCATAGTGCAGTTTATTTTATCCATTTGAATGATGGACCTGTAAACGTAAAAAGTTAGTGTTGAAACATAGAAACATAGAATGTGACGGCAGATAAGAACCATTCGACCCATCTAGTCTGCCCAATTTTCTAAATACTTTCATTAGTCCCTGGCCTTATCTTATAGTTAGGATAGCCTTATGCCTACCCCACGTATGCTTAAACTCCTTTACTGTGTTAACCTCTACCACTTCAGCTGGAAGGCTATTCCATGCATCCACTACCCTCTCAGTAAAGTAATACTGCTTGATATTATCAAATATATGCCCCTCTAATTTAAGACTATGTCCTCTTGTTGTGGTAGTTTTTCTTCTTTTAAATATAGTCTCCTCCTTTACTGTGTTGATTCCCTTTATATATTTAAATGTTTCTATCATATCCCCCTTGTCTCGTCTTTCCTCCAAGCTATACATGTTAAGTTCCTTTAACCTTTCCTTGTAAGTTTTATCCATGAACCAGTTTAGTAGCCTCTCTCCTAAGTATGAATATCCTTCTGAAGATACGATCTCCAGTACTGCGTACAATACTCGAAGTGAGGTCTCACCAGTGTTCTGTACAATGGCATGAGCACTTCCCTCTTTCTACTGCTAATACCTCTCCCTATACAACCAAGCATTCTGCTCGCATTTCCTGCTGCTCTATTACATTGTCTGCCTACCTTTAAGTCATCTGAATTAATTACCCCTAAATCCCTTTCCTCAGATGTCAAGGTTAGGACTCAAATATTCTGTACTCTGCCCTTGGGTTTTTATGTCCAAAATGCATTATATTGCACTTGTCCTCATTAAATGTCAGCTGCCACAACTATGACCATTTTTCTAGTTTACCTAAATCATTTGCCATTTGGCTTATCCCTCCTAGAACATCAACATGCAAATTTTAGAATCATCAGCAAAAATACATACCATCAAGACCTTCTGCAATATCACTTATACAAATATTAAAGAGAATGGGTCCAAGTACAGATCCCTGAGTTACCCCACTGGTGACAAGCCCATGCTTTGAATATACTACATTGACTACAACCCTCTGTTGCCTGTTACTCAGCCACTACCTTACCCATTCAACAATACTGGAATCCAAACTTAAAGGACCACTCTAGGCACCCAGACCACTTCAGCTTAATGAAGTGGTCTGGGTGCCAGGTCCCTATAGGATTAACCTTTTTTTTTTTATAAACATAGCAGTTTATCTGAAATGGGTTAATCCAGCCTCTAAAGCCTCTAGTGGCTGTCTCATTGACAGCCGCTAGAGGCGTTTGCGTGCTTCTCACTGTGAAAATCACAATGAGAAGACGCCAGCATCCATAGGAAAGCATTATGAATGCTTTCCTATGAGACTGGCTGAATGTGCGTGCAGCTCCTGCCGCACATGCGCATTCAGTCGAAGAGGAGGAGAGGAGGCGGAGAGGAGGAGAAGAGCTCCCCGCCCGGCACTGGAAAAAGGTAAGATTTAACCCTTTCCTCGCCATCCAGCCTGGCGGGAGGGTGACCCTGAGGGTGGGGGCACCCTCAGGGCACTATAGTTCCAGGAAAACGAGTATGTTTTCCTGGCACTATAGTGGTCCTTTAACGAATTAGGAAAAAAGAAACCCTGTATTTCCTCTCTTTTTAAAGAAAATTATTAATTTAAAGTCTGGACACAGTACAGACGAACAGTACAATGCAAAGTACAATCAGCCACTAGCAAGCAGTCTAGCATTATTTTAAACAATGTGAATATAACACAAAAGTAAATATAATGGAGTAAAATTTGGAAGGAGGAGGGCTACCCACCACACGGAGGGTTCTTTAAGTGCGGTGGACCACAACCAGTTTGCAGGCAACCCAAGTTTTATGATAGGAAGATACAGTATTTTTGAATAGTGGCTGCGATATTATTTACAAATATTGTAATAACATCTTCCACTAAAGGGGTCGAATCAGAAGGTCGTTTGTATGCCACTGCTTTTTAAAAGTTAAAATAGTATTATTACATTTTTTTGTGAGTGGGAGGGAAGTCCCTCTATCGGTCGAGAGAAAAGAAAGAACCAGGTAGTCCTGCTCTGTAGATCTTTGCAAGACTGAACTCAACAAATGCTTAGTGCAACATAATGTGTCAAGGGAGGGTAAGCCACCACATATCAATATAAGATCCCTTATGGCCAGAACATCTCCAAAATAAGCTTGCGGGAACTTTTACCACCTAAACCAGAGTAGTGTACCAATGGAGCATAGTTTTGACACACTGCTCTTGAGAGGCTACTACAAATCACCACAAACATCTCCTTCCTGTACTTCACCCAAATAATAACAAAGTGTTTAACCAGGAAATGTACATTCAGATATTCTATGGTTTCAAAGTACATCCTGGGGTTGTTACTTTTGCCCTCAATCCAGGGGATGTTACTATTACCTAATTTAACTCATTTTATCTATCTCGGAAAGATGAAGGGCTGAGTCAACCATGACATGCATGGAACCTACAATCCCCAAGGGTTGAACAGATTCTACTGATGATGCATTAGTCCACTGAGTTATCTCATCCAATGTATTCTCTCTTTTTATTGTGAAAGGTTTATTCATTAAACA